TTTATTTAGAGACAGGATCACCCTCTGTTGCTCAGGCTGGAGTGCAGTGGCACGATCACAGCTCACTGCAGCCTCAGCCTCCTGGGCTCCAGTGATCTGCCTAACTCAGTCTCTTCAGTAGCTGGGACTACAGGTGCACACCACCATACCTGGCTATTTTTTATTTTAAGTAAAGACCACATCTCACTATGCTGCCCAGGCTGGTCAAGCAATGCTCCCACCTTGGCTTCCCAAAGTGTTGAGATTACAAGTGTGAACCATCATGCCTGGCCCCATGTACTTTAAGTCATCACTAATAAAATGTGTAGATATTGTACAATGGTGACAGTTGTTATGCTGTATTTTCTATTTGTATTTTTATGGTGTTTTTTTCAAATATTCAGCCTCATCTAGTTGAATCTGAAGATGTGGACCTGCTGATGCAGAGGGCTGATTGTATCTAATTTAGGGTCTTGCATGCAGCTGGCACTTAATATATTTTATTGACTGTTTTAGATAAAATTCAACAGATAATTCCTAATAAAAACTCTTAAAAGTAGGAAAAAAGGGAAACCCGAGTCCTTCCTCTAAAATGGCAGGAAAACCAGCCTGAGCAACATAGCAAGACCTTGTCTCTACAAAAAAATTTTAAAAATTAGCTGCTGGCCTATAGTCCCAGCCACTCAGGAAGCTGAGGCAGGAGGATCCCTTAAGCCCCAGACTGTGAGGTTACAGTGACTGCTCTCCAGCCTGGGTAAAAACAGGCTCTGAAAAGGAAGGAGGGAAGGAAGGAAGGAAGGAAGGAAGGGAGGGAGGGAGGGAGAGAGGGAGGAAGAGAGGGAGGGAAGGAAGAAAAGAAGGGGAAGGGGGAGGGGGAAGAAAGGGAGGGAAGGGAAGGGAGAGAGGGAAGAAAGTAGAGTATAACTATTGGAAAGAAAGAGACAAAACTATCATTATTTGCATATGAAATGATAAATATTAGACAGCCAAAGAAGCCTGAGAGAATCAACTAACATTTTACTGGAAGTAATGTAAGAATTCAGTATGGTGGCTATATACAAAATCAAGAGATCAGCATACAAAAAAATTTTTTTAAAAGATGGCTGCCTCAAATACTTTTCCCATGTACTACCAATAACTAATTAGAAAATGGAAGAAAGATCCCATTTACAACGGCAATAAAAATGTATGAAGTATTTAGGAACAAAAATACAAAGATCTTTTATCTAACAAAAGACGTGTAAGATCTATATGATGGAAACAGACTCTTCTGAAAGACATTCAAAAAAATGAATACATGACAAGAGATATCACATTCCTAGAATGTTGTACAGATGTTAATTCTCAAATTAATCTGCAAATTTAATGTGATCCTATTCAAATCCCAAGACAGTTTTTGGTGGTGGCTATTTTTGAGACAGGGTCTTGCTCTGTTGCCCAGGCAAGAATGCAGTGGTATGACCACAGCTCACTGCATCCTCGACCTCCCAGGCTCAAGCAATCCTCACACTTCAGCCTCCAAAGTCTCTCATATGGTGTCTATGAAATGGTGACAAATCTCACAAAGGGAGCAGGCTCAGAAGGGCTGGAGTATTCAGGGAAGGTGTAAAGAAGAAAGACGAACTTGAGATGGCTTTTGAGAGATTCGTAGGATTCCCTCAGGCAGAGTGAAATAAGGGCATTTTAGATGGACAAAGGCAGAGACAAAAGCAGAAACGGGCATGGTGTGACCAGGGTATGGTGAGGGGCTGCTCTGGCTGGAATGGAGGGCTGCCACAATAATGGAAATGGTGAGTGAGGGAAATAAAGTTGGATTGGCAGCACAGCGTCAAGGTTGCCAGCTTATTATCTCACTCTTCCAATATGCTAGAACTGGCCTGTTGGGAAAAGTAACACATCATGTAATCGAACAAAAGGCAAACAGAGGCAAGCTCTGGGAATGGGTGCTATAAACAGGACTCGCCCCAGAGTAGCCAGATGTAGGCTTTAGATCTGTAATGCAGATTGAGCATCTCTAATCCGAGGAGGAATGTCTCATATGGTGTCCGAGAAATGGCGACACATCTCACAGAGGGCCTGGGCTCAGGAGGGCTGGCGTATGAGACATTCTCCCTCCCCTGTGAACTTAAATAAGTGGCCAACTACTTTTTAAAAAGATGGCTACCCTGTAGTGCTTTAACTGGACCTATTTAGACAACGCCCTACACACTGGAGAAGGAAGACAATATGTGAGTCTAGTAAGTCTACAAGACGAGACTTCTCTCTTTTGCCTTGTCCTTCCTCTCCAGGGTGATGACAGCTCTGTGAGGGTAGAGATTATACATTTCTCTTCATTTCAACAATAAGGAAATAAATTAGTGGCAGAGTACATTCAATTGTTGACATAGTTTGGGTGGGAGAAATTTTGCTATTATATCAACTTAATTTCTTAAAATAGTCTAGTGGAATTAACTTAATTTCAATTGACAGGAATCTCCTGGAAGTGACAATTCTTTAAAAATCCTGGAATACACATTATAGTAAAAGAACAAAGCATACCTCAGCATTAAACAACTGAAGGAGAATGTCAAGTAGTAGTAGGTGGGAAAGTGGCTTTGATTTTCAGTTTGTGGGTTCTGAATTTATACAAAGACAGGATTGCATTCTGAAAACCTGAATTAATTATTGTTCTTACCATGATGACACAGAAAATTAGGATGAACATTGTCACAGTTACAGACACAGATATTGCCAAGATGAATTTGCTGTAGCCATATCCTGGAACAACTTTAGTGAGCTTAAGAAAAAAAAAAGGAAAGAACAATTTTTAAAAAAAAAACACAGAGATAGGATGAAAGCTAACTATTAAAAACCCCAGTACTCCAAGTGAGTAGCTTACAGGTTCTTTTCAATTTTTTTGAGACAGGATCCCACTCTGTTGCTCAGGCTGGAGTACAGCAGTACCATCATGGTTCCCTGCAGACTTGACCTCCCTGGGCTCAGGTGATCCTCCCACCTTAGCTGGCCTCCTGAGTAGCTAGGACTACAGCCATGTGTCACCACACCTAGCTAATTTTTGTGTTTTTTGTGGAGACAGGGTTTCACTATGTTGCCAAGCTGGTCTCAAACTCCTGACCTCAAGTGATCCACCCACCTTAGCCTCCCAAAGTGCTGGGATTACAGGCATGAGCCATCTGGCCAAAGTTACATGGCCAAGACAAGCTGTGGCCCACGAGTCCTAGGTTCTCTTGTGTTGGCACTTTCCCGACATATGCTAAATGATGGGAAAGTCTGGGTCTCATCTTTCTGTTTGGTCCTCACCTCACTTGACTTCTGCTGTTTCTGTTCACTCTGGGCTTCGGTGCTCTCATTGATATAGTTCTCAGTTTTCCACTGGTCCGTATCCCATTCTGCCTTGGACACCTTTTCTTCTTGCTGTTCACTGAGAAGTTTCATCAGGAGGCCTGTCCCGGAGATGAGCTTAGCACAGGCTAATTGCACTTGGGTCTCAGAGCAGTCCATCTTCAAGGTCCGGATAACATGAGATATGAGCCTTCTCACATTGTTGTCAGGGATGAGGGACCGTAGCTGCTGGTTTAGCTGAATTTCAAACTGATCACCTGGGGATGAGAGCAATGGGTAATTGAAGTTTTTGGGCTTGGGGAACAGGTCAGTGCCCAGGTCATTGTATTCCCATTGTGCTCCATTGGTTTGTTTAACAGTTGGCTCTAAGTTGAACGCAGTCCCAGCGGAATCTGCCTCAGGAGGATTATTGTAGGTTGTGTTTTCAGAGATGGTGCCTTCTGGTATAGCAGTGTTTCCCATAAAAATTTTTTCTTCAAAGGCATTTCCTGCGGTGGTGTTTTCCTTAAAATGTTCTGAAGGAGCAAATACCTCTGGAAAAGAATTTTTTTGAATACTGTCTCCTAAAGATGAAAAAGCCCCTTCTGAAGGGGAATTTATGAGGCTCTTTGCTGCAGAGAATGGAGGCCTCTTCGCCAGCATCAGTCTGTTGAGAGAACTTTTCTTTCTGAACTTTCGACTCTTTTTGGCCTTGGGTGTTCTGTGGACCACATGGGAGCTAGTTTTATGAAAGTGGTATTTTTTTCTGGAATTTGTGGTTGGTTTAGCAGCCTTCATATTTTTAACTCTAGCCTTTGCATTTTCTAAAATGAAAATGGCGTAGGTTAAGTCTTTCTCTAGGTTTCTGACCTCACGCTGGGCTTTTCCAGGGGTGAAGGCGGAAGGCCCGCCCATGGAGAAGGGTTTCAGCAAAGAGGAGACAGCTGTCTTATGCTCTTGGGTGAGCAAAGGCTTGGTGTAGATGGTGTTTCCCACTAACTTCTCGGGCCTCTGCACCACGTGAGGCTGTTCCAGCTCCCTTGGGGCTGCACTCCCAGGCCTTTTTCCTTTGGCAGTGTTTTCCACAAATGCCTGGGCACTCTGTTCCCTCCTGATGCTCTGCTTTCCCCCCTCTTTGAAGTGCCTTTTCTGGATGCTCCTTGGGTCCATGAGGACTCTGTTTGCTCTCTGCAGGCTTTTTCCTACACTTTGAATCTTCGCCAGGCTGTTTTCCTGTGGTTGGGCAGTTTTTAATTTTGTCCGAAAAATTTGCCGTTTAAATTTGGGACCTAAAACACTGGACTGTACAAGCATGGCATTTTTTTCTTCCCTTTTAACCTCATCGATTTTTTCTTGAATTTCTGCATCTATCACATTTTCCAGAGAATACAGCTTTCTCAATTTATTTTCGTAAGTTGAGTTGTTGGATGCAGGTTGAAGAGAGGGGCTCTTTGCATTGTTTTTCAAAATACCCAGGGACCTGTCGCCATCTTGTGAATCTGAAAAAAGCAGTTTAATGAATGGTAACAACATTGCCTCCACATCTTCTAGATTTCCCACCGAGAAATAAGGCAAGATATAATTTAGTGCACTGATAACATCACTTTCATCATTGAGGTCTAGCTGCTCACTCCCAAAGCCTGACAAGTTGATGCCGTTGCTGTCTGAGGGTGTCTCCAGCTCAATAGTCAGCTCAGTGCTCGTGTGCTTCTTCCGGGCTTGTAACACCTTCATGAATGCTCCTTCGGGATTCCCTATAGATGCTTCTTCAAGACAATGTGTGGTGTTTGTCAGACATGCACTGTTGCAATGCAGCTTGACTGTCTTGCAGACAACCTCAATGCTATTTTTAAATTGGCAGAGGCAGCAGGCCATATGGCTAGGTAAGATCCTATAGATAAAAACACAGAACAATAAATTAATGGTGAAGGGGTTTCTTGAGTAGGTAAAGGAGGCAGACAAATGCTACCACAGGGCTGGCAAAAAGGTGTTATTGAGGCCTATGGACTGGACAGTTGGGTAGGAACCAGAAGGCCATAGGAAGGAGGACAGAGGTGCACAACAGAAGGGTAAGCATGGCAGGGAGTATGGTATGCCTAGAATAAATGCGGTTGGCATTAGAATTTGGTGACACTGATCAGTAGTTTAATTCAGAAGTATCTCTTCCCAACTCAAAAGTTTCACTTTGGGCTGAAAGTACGCAGGAAGAAGGTAGACTTCTAAGAAGAGTCAGAATAAGCCCCCAACTTCTGTAGTCCCTTTCTCAATTCCTGTTGGGAGTGGGAAATATTAGACATTCTCTGGGCATTAAAACAGCTTAGTTTAACATGTATTGTGGGGTAAAAAATAACAGAGATTTCATGGGCCAAATCTGGATGGACATTTGAGCATTCAAAAGAATAACAACAATAATAAGTTACAACATAATTAATATAAAGAAGAATCCATGAAGAATGATATTCAAAAAGAAAGAGGGGTTTTCTTCTTTAATGAAATAATGCCAGCTAGTAAATGCAGAAGGAATGACAAAATTTAAAAAAGTGTCACTTTGCACCACCAATATAATAAAAATTGATTCAGACAAGGATTATTATTGATACACAGTTGGGTAAAAAGACACTTGAGAACAGGATCTTCACTGATTTCAAAGTACCACCCCACAGATTATTTCTTAATTACCAAGGGGAAAATTATTTTTTATTTTTTTTATGACACAAGGTTTCACTCTGTCACTCAGGCTGAAATACAGTGGCAAAATCATAGCTCATTGCAGCCTCGACCGGGCTCAAGTGATCCTCCAAATTCAGCCCCCCGAATAGCTGGGACTATAGGCTTGCACCACCATGCCCAGATAATTTTCTTTTGTTTTTTGTATTTTTAGTAGAGACAGGGTTTTACCTTGTTGCTCAGGCTGGTCTAGAACTCCTGGACTCAAGTGATCTGTCCACCTCAGCCTTCCAAAGTGCTGGGATTACAAGCATTAGCCACTGCACCCAGCAAAATAACTACAATGGAGAGATCTGGAAGATCACCTTAATCAAGTGATCAAACTTAGCATTATGGGCCACCTGTAGTCACGAGGCAGGAAGGATGTATCACCTATGCAGTATTCTTCCTTAAAATGCTTAACTTGAATCTCATCATGAGGAAACAAACAAATCCATATTGTGGGACAATTTACAAGACAGCTATCTTTGACTCTTAAAAAATGCCAGTATCATGAAAGATAACAAAAAGTAGCGGAATGTTTTAGATTAAAGGAAACGAAGACATGACATGCAGTGCCTGACCTTTGATTGGATTCTGTGGTATTCTTTCATCTTTATGGTATGTTTGAGTTTTTTTCAAAATATAAATTTGGACAAAAGAGATACCAAGATAATTGATTATTGTTATGGCTTATTGGGGGCAGTTTTAGAGAGAAAAAAAAAACCTCTGTTAACTGGAGTAAATCTCAAGGTTACTCTTAAGCAGTATAGCATGGTCATTAAGAATACAGATTCCACAGCGAGACCAGGCTTAAATCCCAGCTCCACTAATGTGAATTTGGGCAAACTGCTTAATCTCTGTTCCTTGGCCTTGTCATTGTAATAGTACCTACTTCTAATGAGTTTTGAGGATTAAATGAATCAATACCTGAAAAATGCCTGGCACACAGTGAATGCTCGATAAATGTTAACTACTAAAATTATTACGTTGCAGAGGCTGTGGGGGCCTTTTCTGGATCCTTCAAAAGGATGACTTTATCAGGACCTCATTAAAACTGTGAAAACAGAAGCATGTTTCATGGATATATGAAGTCTATGAGCTGGGAGTACAACGTATAGAGTTTTTTGTTTTGTTTTGTTACTATCTCCAGTAATGGGTATAAGCAAATGTATAGAGTTTTATATTACAACTGCATCCAGTAAGTTGGCCTGACACAGCTTTCAAACCTATAGAGAAATAGCCACTAGTGACTAGTAGTGTTCCTTTGGGTCCAGTGGAAGCCTTTGATCTTCATATAGAAAGAATGGACCCAGAGCCATAACCTAGCATTTGACTTATATAGCAACCTTAACTCTGACACAAAGGTGTTTCTTTTGTTTGTTCTGAGGCAGGGTTTCGCTCTATTACACAGGCTGAGTGCAGTGGTGCAATCTCAGCTCACTGCAGCGTCTGCCTCCTGGGCTCAAGTGATCATCCCACCTGAGCCTCCTGAGTAGCTAGAACTACAGGTGTGTGCCACCATGACTGGCTAAGTTTTGTATTTCTTGTAGAGATGGGGTTTCACCATGTTGCCCAGGCTGGTCTTGAACTCCTTAGCTCAAGCAACCCTGTCTCCTTGGCCTCCCAAAGTGCTGGGATTACAGGCATGAACCCAAAGTTTTTGTTATTATTTTTGTGCTTTCAACTTCTTATTTTAAACATTTTCCTTTTTTCCTTTAAGCCTTAGGATGGCTGGGAAACATTTTCAAATGGTATAATGAACACCTGTATAACTTCCATCTGGAATCAACAGTTGCTTTTTTTCTTGCTTTTTAAAAAATTTCCCACCTAACCCCAACAGTTGCTAATACTTTGCCACATTTGCTTTCCATGTATGTATGTCTACACATTTTTCTGGACAAACCATCTGAGAGTTAGTTGCAGATATAATGAGCCTTCACCACTAAATAATTCAGTATGCAGCCCCTAAGAACCAAGGCATTCTCCTCCATAACCAGAATACTATTATCACCCAATGAAACTTAATATTATCATTGCCTACTATGTAGTCCACATACAAATTTTCACAATTGTCCCAATCATATCATGGCTTAAAAAAATTCAGAATCCAATCAAACATCAGACATTGCATTTAGTTTTCATGATTGTTTAGTCTCCTTAACTGTTCCCAGAACTGTCTTAAAGTATACTGACAAATCTTTGAGACTGTAAATGATCTGAGGTACAGATTATTCTTACTTGAGAATAGTAATTTTCCAATATGCGTTAAAGATCATTACACATGAATCAAGACTCAAATGAGCTGGCCTACTTTCTTTGTATATAAATGTGTAAACTCCTGAAGACTTTCAATGATGAATTCCAATAGGGCAGTTAGTTCAATGTCTTTTGGGTCTTGATGACAAATGGTTAAAGAGAACAGGAGCATTTTTCCTATCCACTAATGGTAAAGGAAAAAGCAGACAGAACCTCACTATGTTAGAGAACTAAGTGAGAAAGCTGGTTGGTGAAGAGGACTTCATCCAGAGAGGAAGGGATCTAGCTGACATGGAAGATGCTGCAGGAGGCTGAGGAAAACGAGGCTAGAGCAATAAAACAGATTTGACAAGATGGTGAAGATAAGAAAGTGACCTGACAAAAATGAATGCAGCAGAGTGCTAAATGAAGGGCCCATTCCATGCTAATTTGTATAATGCCCTCAACTAGCCTTAGCATATCTGAGTTTCTATTTAGCTTGCCATATTGTGTGTTGGGGGGCAGGTGGCACAAACTCACAATAGGGCCCTGCAGATATATATAGAGTCTTGCTCTGTCACCCAAGCTGGAGTGCAGTGGTGCCATCTTGGCTCACTGCAACCTCCACCTTCCGGGTTCAAATGATCTTTCTGCCTCAGCCTTCGTAGTAGCTGGGACTTACAGGTGTATGCCACCACACCTGGCTGATGTGTGTGTGTGTGTGTGTGTGTGTGTGTGTGTGTGTGTGTATGTATATATGTATATATAATTTTAACTGCAAAGAAGGCCAGGCACAGTGCTTCATGCCTGTAATCCCAGCATTCTAGGAGGGTGAGGCAGGAGGATCACTTGAGGCCAGGAGTTTGAGACCAGCTTGGGCAACATAGTGAGACCTTGTTTCTACTAAAAATAAAAAATAAAATTGAAAAAAAAGTAGATACCTCGCACCATATATGCAAATTAACTCAAAATGGATCATAGACCTAAATGTAACTATACAATTTCTGGGAGCAGACATAAAAGAAAGTCTTTTTGACTTTGGATTAGACAACAGGTTCTTAAAGATTTCTTAAGTAAGAAACAAAAAAGCACAAGCCATATAAGAAAAAATTGCTAACTTAAAGCTTATAAAAATTAAAAACTTCTGCTCTTCAGAAAACACTTTTATTTTTATTGTTTATTTTTTATTTTGAGACAGAGTCTCACTCTGTTGCCCAGGCTGGAGTGCAGTGGTGCAATCTCGGCTCACTGCAACTTCCACCTCCCAGGTTCAAGCATTTCTCATGCCTCAGTCGCCTGAGTAGCTGGGATTACAGGTGCCAGCCACCACTAATTTGTGTATTTTTAGTAGAGATGGGATTTTGCCACGTCGGCCAGGCTGGTCTCGAATTCCTGACCTCATGTGATCCACCCGCCTTGGCCTCCCAAAGTGCTAGGATTACACGCGTGAGTCACTGTGCTCAGTCAGGAAACACTTTTAACAGAATGAAAAGACAAACCACAATCTGAGAGAAGATATTTACTAAACACATATCTAAAGGGCCTTGTTTTATTTATTTATTTATTTATTTACTTATTTAATTGTTGATATAGCATCTCACTCTGTGATCCAGGCTGGTGTGCAGTGGTGATCATGGCTCACTGCAGCCTCGACCTCCCAGGCTCAAGCAATCCCAAAGTGCTGGGACCACAGGTATGCACCACCACACCTGGATTGTTTTCATAGGTTTTTATAGAACTATAGTTTTTATAGAGACGAGGTTTCACCACATTGCCCAGGTGGTCTCAAACACCTGGCCTCAAGCAATCCTCCTGCCTCAGCCTCCCAATGTGCTGGGATTATAGGTGTGAGCCACTGCACCTGGTCCCTGAAAGGACTTGCATCTAGATCTATAAAGCACTCTCAAAACTCAATAATAAATAATCTCTCATGGGATTACAGGGGAAAAACCTCACTAATAAAAAGATTAATATTCAATTAAAATATGAGAATAGATTTGAACAATTTAGTAAAGAAGATA